TCTGTCATGTGTACACCATGCCTTCTTGACACATGGTGTTTCATAGCAATCTCATCCATGAACATACATGCACAAGACAGAACTTTTGATCTTCACGGAATGGTCCTCCCACCAAACCCCTAAAAAGCCCGTTCTTTCTCTGGTTTCCCACAGCTGAAGAAATGGCATCTGCACCGAACACAACTGCTCTACCAGGACCTGTATCTAATTCCTAAGCCAGTCTTGTCAATGTACGATGCATCTCAATTTTCCGAGTCTACTCACTTCTCTCTCTCTCTCTCTCTCTCTCTCTCTCTCTCTCTCTCTCTCTCTCTCTCTCTCCTCCTCCCCTCCCCTCGGCTGCAACCATCCTGGGACCTCACTAACATCTCACCTGGTCTCTTGCAAGAGCATCCAATTCTCCACACAGCAGCTAGAGGATCTTTTTTCTATTTCTTTCTTTTTTTATCTTTTTTCTTTTATTTATTTACTTAATCTATATTTTATTGATTTTTTTACAGAGAGGAAGGGAGATAGAGAGCTAGAAATGTCAATGAGAGAGAAACATTGACCAGCTGCCTCTTGCACACCCCCTACTGGGGATGTGCCTGCAACCAAGGTACCCTTGACTGGAATCGAACCTGGGACCTTTCAGTCCGCAGACTGACGCTCTACCACTGAGCCAAACCGGTTATGGCTATCTTTTTTTCTTTTATAGAGGATCTTTTTTTTTTTTTTTTAAATTAAATTATTATCTGTGTACATATTTTAACATTGTCCCCCCTCTCATACATACCCTCCCTCCCCAGAGTTTTGTGTCCATTGGTTGTACTTATATGCATGTATACAAGTCCTTTATAGAGGATCTTTTAATCTATCAGATCATGCCATGTTCCAAAGCCCTCCAAAGGATTCCTGCTGAATCAAGTGCAAAACCCAAACTCTGAGAGCCTTTTGTGACCTTGTCCTTGCCTCCTGTCCCTCCCCTGCCCCCCACTCCATCCACAGGGGGTCTTCCCTGGCTCTGGGAGCTTACCGAACCTTTTCTACCTCAGTCCATCTCTGCAGGGATTCTCTCTCCACACGGTGCCAGCAGCTGGCTTCCTTAGAGAAAACTCCCTGACAGCACTCTCCTCACACACTTTGTCCCTTCTTCCCTCTCGTAGAGTCATAGCATTTGCCGATATCTGTAATTACACATTCGATCGTGTGTTTATTTATGGTCTCTCCCACCGAGCTGCTTGCAGGAAGCAGCTGGGACTCTTGTCTGTTTCTCATCACTAAGCACAGAGCGCCTGCTCAGGGGCAGCCGCAGCCAGGATGCTCCAGAAAGATTTGTTGAATGAATTCACTCTCTCTCTAATTCTTTGCCTCAAATGTATGTCCTGGCAGGAAGGCTTGCCTGGCATGAACACACGCAACCCAAAAGAAAAAGAAGAAAAAAAATCTAAATTTTATGAAAACCCGAAGACTTAAGTTTTACAAACATATAAATTATTTTATTTACAAAGCCATGATACAAAAAAAAAAAAAAAAAAAAAAAAAAAAAGCCAAAAAACCCAACCGCTCACTGGAGCATGTGTCCAGGCCTGGTGCGGAACCGTGGCAGTATCAATAGATACATGTTTGTTCTTTCCTTTTTTTTAAAAACTGTAAGCCATAGAGTTTACTATGTACACCTACTTTAGACATTTATTCTGCTTACAACATCGCAGGCATGGAATGGATTCTGACAGTGCTAACACATAAAGGTGCGGGGCGAAGGAGGAGGTGCCTAGTGTTACAAAATATGGATTGTAGAACAGAAGAGGAGAAACCCACCCCACAAGGGTGGCCTTGGTTCAGAATGTTTGGACATGCTCTTCTTCAAAATCCTTCCGGAAAAGGTTCTCAAGTCGGGTAGTAAGGAAAGGACAAATGATCAGGTGCAAATTCTTGTCTGTGCAACAATAGTTATTTAATATACCCCCATGACTGGCCAGCGACGTAAAACCCACAGTTTTTTTGTTTTTTTGTTAAAGTGCCATGGGCCAACAGCATAACAAAATAGAAGGTGTAAATAGAAAATTTCTTCTTTTCCTTTTTTTTTTTTTTTTTTTAAACAAGAGTTCACTGAGAATCAGCAATAATAGAATATGCTGTATAAACTATTCTCTACAAAGGTTGATCAGCGTTATTTACAATTGGTACATTGATACAAAAGAAGGCATACAAGTTTATCCAAGTCGCTTTGTTTTTTATGGCTGACAGGTCTATGCATTGCGCTATGCTTAACAACCAGAGCTTTCGTGAGCCTCTGTGGCTGGCGACAAGTCAGAGATCTTCAGGCAAGTGGAGGGGGGGTGTTGGGGTGTGCAGTCCCGGGTGGGGGAGAGAGGGCCGAGGGGGGCGGGCAGAACAAAGAAGTACCCAGAGAGGGTCACCCGGATAGTGCTTTACAGGCTGGTCCAGTTGAACTCCATGAAAACAAAACCAAAGAAAACCTTTTATTTGCATTCCACTTTTTTCAAGCTGTGAGTTTTGAATACATGGTTATCAAGTAAACCTGTGGTTGACCGTGAAGGAAGAGACACCGTGGGTTTTCCCTTTTTTTTTTTTTTTTTTGCTCAGTTTTCCAGAAATGTCCTCGCCTTGGTCAGAGCCAGTCTTTCACCAAGTCAGCAGCATTCGGTGGGGAGCCTTGTTATTCCAGCTTGCAATTCCAAGATGTAGGGCGCGAAAACGTTCACACCTACGACGGAATTGCTCCTTGAGTCCCTGTCCAGATGTTATTTCTCAGAAGCAGCCACTTCATCTCTCAACCTTTGTGTTCCCTCTTTGGATATGTAAGAGTTTGTAGATCAGAGGGTTATTCTGTTGCTGAGATTTTTTTTTTTCTTCTCGTTTTGTTTTTACTCCTGCAAGTTTTACAACTCAAAATAAATTATATTAAAAACAAAACAAAAACACAACCACACACAGACGTCTAAAACTGAACAGGACAAAAAAATTGTGCAAAAATAACGAAGATATATGTACATACTTTTCCGTCTGAAGAAATGTACAATAAAAACATAATCCAAAGAACATTTTAAAAATATAAACATTGCTTAAAACTTTCCTAAGTTTCATATTGTTTCTGAAACTATTTCTGGTCAGTTAGCTCTGTCATATAGTAAAACATAAATTATTACAAAATTAACACTATAAAAATTTACTTTAAGAATATCTTCTAAACTTTTTTTCCCCCCAAAGGTTCTAATCTTGTTTATAATTTCTTAAACATTTATAAGTCTTAAATCTGCCTTAACCACCTTTTTTTTTTTAAAAAAAGGAAAAGTAACAATCTTCCCTTCAATTTGCAGTCTTCCCCCCTCCCCCCCAAGATGTAAATAAACCAGCATATAAGTGCACTTTTAACACTGTAGAAATAAAAACGAAATCATCTGAACTAATGTCCTGGTACCTAATATCAACTCATTGATTTTTTTTTTTAAAAAAAATCTTCATTTTTTTATATTAAAAAATTGTAGTAATCCTATAAGAAACACTGTCAGTGCAATTTCATCGATGCAAATCACTCCGCTAGCCTCCCGCCTCAGTGGGATTCTATTCCGTGTTGAAACCTAACAGTAGTCTGATCTTTGGGGAGGGGGGTGGGGAGGGGAGGAAGACTTCGGGGTGGGGGTGAGGGTGTGTGTCCAGCTGCCACTCTGGCTTTCCTGTCTGATGTAGGGATGAAGGGAAACTCCTACTCTCTGTGCCAAGGTACAGGGTGAACAGCGCAGAACACTTACTTTACGTGGCATGTTCCTTTCCGGACCGATTCCTGATTAAAGCTTACAGTACTGACGTTTCCTTCAGACTCCAGTGTGAATAGTTTCAGCTGCGCTCTTCCTCGCTAGGCAGTGGCCGGCCTTACCACTCTGACCCGGGGTGGCTGAGTCTGAGCTGGGCCTCTGATAACCCGGCAGACCCTGATACAGGGGGCCCCGAGTCACAGGGTCGTGTGGCCCAGGGCACAGAGGTGGGCGGGCGGGGCTTGTACTCATTCTCACCAGGGGTTTGACCCATAGCCCTCCATGGAAGCTTTCCCCCAGATCCATCCCTCCCTCCCCTTGTCTCCTCTTGCCCGGCCCTGGAGGGCAGCTGGAGTGTGTCCACAGCTGTGGGCACTGTGCCTTGTTCAGAGTGGCCTCCTGGGGCCTCCTGGGGCATCCCTCTCTGGTTTGACCAGCTTTGGGCCCTTGCCCAGGGCACCCAGGAAGGTGTTTTGCAGCCTGGATTCCTAACAAGCTCAGAGGACCACAACCACCCAGTTCTCACGATCTCTGAGGGATAGCTTCTCCGACTCCCATTCTCTGCTTCCGGCCACCTCCCAGGCCCGGTCCAGACCTGACCCGGTATATCCCCTCTCTCAGCTGCACGGCCGGACGGTGGTCCTGGGGCGCCCTGGAAACCTGATGGGTGCTTGGCCACCCTCCTGCCTCTGTTCTCCGCCCCCCAGCAGAGCCCCTCCCAGGCCATCCAGAGGCGAGCTTATGAGAGGCAACTTCTTGGGATGGCCTTGGGGACCCAGAGAGTGGCAGGCAGGAAGGGATGGATGGGTGGGTGGGTGAGGACAAGGAAAAGAGCACTTTGCGTGCTCAAGTTCGAGTTTCCGATGATGATGCCAACCGGGAACGGACGTCCCGAACGGTCTGCTCGCGTGGCTGGAGCAAAACGACGGTGCAGTAGTTGAGTCAGAAGCTGGAGGAGGGACCCCGAGCTTGGAAGGATGTGTACACGTGGCAAATGAAAGACAACGAAGAAAACAAAACACGGGTATTGTTTTCTGTAAATCTCAAATTCACGTTCTCGTGCCTTTTTTCTTTTTCTCCAAAAAACGAAAGAAACTGGTCATAAAAAAGAAAAAGACAAAGAAAGGCCAGAGCCACAGGCGGGCCCAGGAAATGGATCCCCCACTGCCCACTCCCTGCCCCCGTGGCCCCTGGGCGGGACCGGAGGCCAGGTGTTGGTCTGGAAGTGGCTTCATAGTCTTGCTATGGAAGAGTCCTTATCCTGCCGGTTCTGTTTGTGGTCTTCTAGAAAAGAAGCAGCTTGGGATTACCACGAGGATTCGAGAACAGAGTGATTTCTCATCTATAACAAAAAGGAGACCATCCCAACCCCTACAGCAGCCAAAGGCAGGAGGGGATGTCTGCAAAGGACCCCATACATGTAGGGTAACCCCCAAAGTCCTAGCGGTGGGGGGAAATGCAAGGATGAATCCAGCATAGAGGATCAGAATAAGTCTGTGTTCTCTCTCTCTCTCTCTCTCTCTCTCTCTCTCTCTCTGCCTAATATGATACGGTTGCTAATAATAATAGTAATAGCTAATATTTGTGTGTTCTATTGGGCATTTTCTAGGGGCTTTCTGTGAATAAATTAATTTAATCATCACAAAAGCCCTAAGAGGTAGGGACCATTATAATCCCCATCTTTTTTTTTTTTTTTTTTTAATATATTTTATTGATTTTTCACAGAGAGGAATTGAGAGGGATAGAGAGTTAGAAACGTCGATGAGAGAGAAACATCGACCAGCTGCCTCTTGCACACCCACTACTGGGGATGTGCCCGCAACCAAGGTACGTGCCCTTGACCGGAATTGAACCCGGGACCCTTCAGTCCGCAGGCCGAGGCTCTCGCCACTGAGCCAAACCGGTTTTGACTATAATCCCCATCGTATGGTGAGGAAACAAGCACAGAGGAGTTAAGTAACCTGCCCAAGGGCACACAGCTAGTAACTACTAACGTGGGAAGCCAGACGGCCGTGCTGTTACCGAGATGAGATTTGAACCAGGATCTGACCCAAATACCCACATTCTTTCCACCCCACTGACGACCTTATGTACTCCGACCTCCCCCTCCACGGCCCCCTAACTTACCTGTCGGCTGTGTCCTGGGCTGGGTATGCTTGAAGGGCTGGACTGTGACAGAGCGAGGCTGCTGTTTTTCCCAACCTGAAAGACATGGGCGAAGCCCTCCTCAGACAGCGAGCCAGCTGGGGCAGGCCCCACCCACACCAGGCGTCCACGGGGACAGGAGGGGCTGTGCCATCATGTGATCCTTGCCCTCCCGTCCATCTCAAATGGCAGAGAAAACGAAGACGTCTCAGCGGTGTCTGGAGGATGTCACTCCCACCCCAGAGGAAAGCATAATGGAGGGGAACTCAACCCTGCTTCCCCGGTGAGGATGTTTTCGGGATGAGGATAAGGCAATCTGGCTAGAGGCCTGTCCTGTCGCCCGCTCCCCCCTCCCCGCCCCTCCCTCCGGAGCACTGTACTGGGCAGAGGCCCAGCTTTTCCATCTGTGGCCAAAGGGTTACACAGACGCCTCCACCTCTGAACTCAGTCCTACCCTCACTTATTTCTGGCTCAGGCTCCCGCGGACCAGCGGGGGATAGAGGCCTGGGCCTTGTTCTGGGTCCGTTTTCTCAGCCAGGAGACACAGTGCACCCTTTACTGTTCCCGAGGAGAACGGCACGGTGGCCCTGGGCTTACTCCTCCATGGGAGGCGGACTGGTCCTGGGACAGTGCCCTGGGAGCACGGGGCTGTCCTTGGCACACACGGGCTGGTCCTCAGGTGAGTGCCGTTCCAGAGGCAGCTCCTGCCTTTGGCCCACGCGGAGCTGGCCTCCCCGCGGCCTGGCTCAGAGGGAATCAAACCGGGAGGTCATGGTCTGATTCCTGGTCAGGGCACATGTCCGGGTTTTGGGCTTGATCCCCAGTGTGAAGCATACAAGAGGCAGCCAATCAATGATTCTCTCCCATCATTGATGTTTCTATCTTTTTCCCCCTCTCCCTTCCTCTCTGAAATCAATAAGAAAAAAAAATATATTTATATATATATATATATCATATCAATAAAATGATATATATATATATCAATAAAAATATATATACATATACATATAAAAAACTAGCCTTCTACATTAATTCAGCTCTGCATAAAGACATCTGCCTTACATTTGCAGTCATTTTGTTTAATTTAATACTCCTGTGGCAAATTCTGGCCTTACTCCTACCAGATACAATGAAACAGAACCTCAGTTGGTCCCCAGAGCACATGTTTAGCTTGAATTTCTCAACCTCACACCACGCCCCTTCCAGTCTCCTAAGAGGATCAACATAGATTCCAAAGGCTTTTCCCCAACATTCGGAAATCACCGGTGGCCACTCTGGACAAAGCCTTTTTCTCCTCCTCCTCCTCCTCCTCTTCTTCTTCTTCTTCTTCAATATATTTTTAAATATATTTTATTGATTTTTTACAGAGAGGAAGAGAGAGGGACAGAGAGCTAGAAACATCGATGAGAAAGAATCATCGACCAGCTGCCTCTTGCACATCCCCTACTGGGGATGTGCCTGCAACCAAGGTACATGCCCTTGACCGGAATTGAACCTGGGACCTTTCAGCCCGCAGGCCGACGCTCTATCCACTGAGCCAAACCGGTTTCGGCAACAAAGCCTTTTCTTAATGGCCTGGTGACAAGGACCAAGGTACCACCTAGGCCCAAGGCAGCCGTTACATTCCTCAGCTTTTTTTGGATTTCCTTCCTGATGGCTCGCCTGCTCCTCTCACCCCGCTGGTGGCAGGCTCGTAGTGTTGACTGCACATTCCCTATGTCCCGGCAGACCCAACAGTCAACAGAGCGGTCTTTACTCCACACAGAGGCACGCCATGAACACATGAGAGGCATGGAGGGTTAAGAGCCCAGGCTCCAGAGCTAACCTGCCTGGTTTCAATCCCAGCCCTGCTACGTACTTGCTGTGTGACTTTGGCAAATTCTGGCCTTACTCCTACCAGATATAATGAAACAGAACCTCAGTTGGTCCCCAGAGGATCTTCCTGTGCCTTGGTTGACTCATCTATCAAAGGACAGTAATAACAGGGAATGGCTACAGGTGTTAAATGTATTATAGCTGAAGGACTTGGAATGGAGTCCCCCTCCTGAGTGTTAGCTGCTAAGATTTTATCTGAAATGGGTGACAGGATAGCCCTCAGTGTCAGCGTGTGGCCTGCACACCAGGCCTTCTCCCACCCCCGCCCCTGCCCCTGGCCTGACTCAGAACCTGCATCCTAGCAAACCCCAGGGAACTCAGGTGCATACGTAATCTTCGGAGGTCCTGGCTGTGCCTCCATCCGGACCTGGAGGTGGCACTGACCCCCGGTGAGCCTCAGCATAGGGCCCTGTGGCCCCCCCCCCCCCCCCCCCCCGGCACTGAGCAGCCAGAGGCAGCACGTCTGCTGCAGCTGCACACGTGTGCGAGGGGCCGGGCTCCCGTGAGGTGCCCCGTCCTCCCCCTCTCCCTCCCTGGCCTCAGCTGCAGCTTGTCTGGCCCTTGGGATCCAAACTTGCTGCTTCTCAAGTGTTTACTTGTGATTTGTGAATCCCCCTCGAGATGCTCTCCCCGTGAGGTTTTAACGAGCCTCCTGTAAAGATGACACAACTGCCTCTCGTCTCTCCCGAGTCCTCGTCCCCAGATGGGGCTGGGCTCAGGGTCCGGGCACTTCATGCTGTGGCTGTGACTCTGGGGCTGCGGCAGCAGGTGCCCGGCCGGCAGGGGCAAGGCCCCGGGGCAGCCTGCGGAGCGGCTACTCTGGCCCTCGCTCTTTCCGCGGAGCCCCATGGCACCGGTCTGTGCAGGTGAGGACTCTCTGAGGTCGCTTCCCCAGCCTGGGAGGCAGACCAGACTCGGGGATGGGAACAGAACACAGGGAAGGACACACGGATTCTCCCTGGACCACGCCACGTCCCCACAGCTTTCCTCACAAGCCCCCTCCTCCCCCATTTGGTACAGTGGCATCGCACAATTCTGCGCCCATTGCTGTTCGTTTTACTTTTGGGAAAAAAAGAGTTGTGCCGAAACCGGTTTGGCTCAGCGGATAGAGCGTCGGCCTGCGGACTGAAAGGTCCCAGGTTCGATTCCAGTCAGGGGCATGTACCTTGGTTGCGGGCACATCCCCAGTGGGGGGTGTGCAGGAGGCAGCTGGTCGATGTCTCTCCCTCATCAATGTTTCTAGCTCTCTATCCTTCTCCCTTCCTCTCTGTAAAAAAAATCAATCAAATATATTAAAAAAAAATTGTTGTACCAGCAAGAGGGGGAGGGGCACCGGGGCAGCCAGGTGACGTGGGAACAGTCCGGGGGGGGGGGGGGCCCGGAACCACAAGCCGTCACCCCCCAGAGGGGACGCTGGTCCTCCTTCCACCTGCCTGGCCTCAGCGCTTCCCGAGGGGACTCCGGACAGACCAGAGAAAACTCCTCGGCAACAGAACCCTTCAATGAGACCACCCTCTGAAGCTCGAGGTATAAAAGGGAAGCAGCGTGGGGAGCTCGCGGCCTCTCTGTGCCTCAGTTTCCTCCTCTGGAAGGCGGTGATGACAACGGCACCAGCTGCCCCGGGCGGCTGTGAGGACTAAGTGAGACCCTGGTTGCACGGTGCCCAGGGTGGCACGGACCCAGCACACCGAGCCCTGGCGAAGCACCCGCTCCCCTGGCAGCGGCGGGCGGCGGCCTCAGGGACAACGAGACAGTCCCCGGGCTAAGCAGGGCCGCGCTGCTTGGCTCCCGCCGCCCCGGGGGGGCCTGGCGGGCCGGGTCCCTTACCTGCCGCGAGGAGGAGGTGCTGTTCACGGGGTCGGGCATCGGCGGGAGAAGGTTGGGCGGGTTCTTTTTGTGGACGCTGTTCATCCCAGGCATTTTAGTGATCTTACAGGCCTTGCCGCTCGAGCTCGCGTTCTTACGCTTCTTCCCTTCCGACTTGTCGAAGGAGAGGGCCAGAGAAGACGACACGGCGTTGTGGGAGGCCAGGGAGAGGTCCCCGGCGAGGGCGGGCACGGCGAGGGCGCAGGGCTCGCTGCCGCCCCCGGGGCCCAGGTGCCTCCCGATGTCCGGGGGGCCGCCGGGCAGCGAGGTCCGTCCTGAGGGCTCCAGTTTGGCACTGAGGAGGGGGCTCACCCCGTTGTTGGAGGTGTGCACGGGCAGGCTGGCGTAGGGGGGGGCCACCTGGTAGGAGTTCAAGGCCGAGCTGGCGCCGAGCACGCAGTTCTTCCTGTGGGGCCCGGCCAGTGGGGCCGGGAGGGGCGCCTGCAGGGGGAACGGGGCAGGGGCTGGCGCGGGCGGCGGCGGCCGCCGCTTCTTGTTGCTCGGAGGAGGGGGGCCGGACAGGTCTCTGACTTTTGAGGATCTGCTGGTTTTGGTTTTGGATGATGGCTTGTGGGACGCGGGGGGCGGGATGACGGCCGGGATCGGGGACACGGCCGAGGGGGCCTTGAAGGTGGAGTCCATGATGCTGAGGGTGGCGGCCACGTGGGGGAAGGCGGCGGGGTGCGGCAGGAGGGCGCCCGGGTCCGGCGAGGCCACGAACGCGGCGTTGGGGAGCATGGCGGACGTCATGATGTAGGAGGAGGCGAGCCTCGAGCTGATGGGAGCCGAAGGGAGGTACACGGCACCGGGGCTGCTGAAAGGCTGCAAGACGGAGGCTGGCACCGGGGTGGCGATGTGGGCTGCCGGCGAGGGCAGGGGGCAGTCTGCCGCCGGGGGGATCTTCCTACACGGGAGAGAAGAGCGAGGGAGAGACGGTGAGCAGCGGGCGGGGAGACACCCCGGGGGACCGGACGATGGACAATGAAGCCTTGGTGGATGGCAACATCTGAAGGATGGCCCTTCCCCGTGGCCCCCCTCTCCCCCACTGCAATGCCCTGCACCCTATAGTACAATCCCTTCTGGGTTTTCAGGGTCCTTTTTCCCCTGCGTGGCTACTGGATGCTGGCTGATTTGGGTTCACGGATTAAGAGGCAGATGTGGCCGAAACCGGTTTGGCTCAGTGGACAGAGCGTCAGCCTGCGGACTGAAAGGTCCCGGGTTCGATTCCGGTCAGGGGCATGAACCTGGGTTGCGGGCACATCCCCGGTAGGGGGTGTGCAGGAGGCAGCTGGTCGATGTTTCTCTCTCATCCATGTTTGTAGCTCTCTATCCCTTTCCCTTCCTCTCTGTGGAAAATCAATAAAATATATTTTAAAAAATTGGCGAATGTGCTTTAGAAATCTAAATGTCCCCAGCGGTATTCTCCTCTCTAGGTCGTAGCGATGAAGGTGGTTTTTACTGGGAAGTGGCCACTCCACCCTGGGGTCCTGGCGTGTGCTGAGGAAGAGTGAGGCCCAGGCTCTGTCGCCTGCCCGCCTGGGCCAGAGCAGCAGGCTTGGCCCCCTGCCTGTCCCCTGCCTCCCCGGCCTGCTCTCGGCTCCGGGCAGCGTGGGCAACTCCCCTCTCTCACAGCCCGCCTCCGCCTGCCTTTCCTCTCTGCAGCCTCTGGTTTACTCCACGGAGAGGCGCCTCCATGTGAGCGTGTGGCTCCTGGGTGGCCCTGTGCCCAGCCCCAGGGCTGATTCCTCCCCTCCTGTCCGCCCCGCCCCTAGTCTCAGCTCTCACTCCGAGGAGCTGCCATCGGGGTGGCTGCCCTGCCACAGGCCTTCTTGTCCCCGTGTGAGGAAGGGGTGAGAGTACAGGGACGGACCCTCACGTACCCGGAGAAAGAGGTCAGGAATGTCTGCTCCGCTCTGAGCAAACGCAGGGAGAACAGGTGGATGGGGGAGGTCTTCCTGGAGGCTGGGAGGGCCAGGGAGCAACCCCCAGGCCCCTCCTACTCTGGGCGCTAGGCTGGCCCGGTGGTGGCCACTCCTGGGGCTTCCCTGCACACCCCCACTTTGGGCTTGTGCCGGACGGACGCAGTTCCCGCTTCCAAACCGGGGCCTGGGGACCGGAAGGTGCAGGGGCCCTGCGGGCACCAGCTGTTCCCAATCCGTGGGGAAGAACACTGACCTCAGGAGCCCGGCGGGTACTGCCAATGGCTCTTTTCTGTTCCCACCTAGCCCCCTGCCTGTGCCCCTGGGGGTCAAGCCCCAGCAGTGAGGAATTCACTCTCTCAACGGCAGGCAGGCCTGCACCCTGCACCCCAGGAGCTTGGAGCCAGGCTGTGAGATGGGGCTTCTCCCGGGCGGCCACCCTCCCAGTGGTGGCATGGGGAGGCGGGGACGACGACTCTGGGAAGAGGCCCCGCTGACAAGGACACGCCTCTCCTAGCGCTGCGCTCCCAGGATCCCATTTCTGCCTGCAGCTGGGTGAAGCTGTGGCTTCGATTGTTAGGGTGGAACCCTTGAATATGGACAGACGAGTCCTTGAAGACACCAGACCGAGGAGATCAGAGGTAAGAGAAAAAAAAAGCTGCCATTTTTGTGTGTGGCCATAGTGGTGTTTGGAAAATCTACTTTCTCTCAGGCCTGAAGAGTGTAGGAGATCCTGTCAGCACTAAGTAAGTGCTCCATGAAGACTTGCTGCAATGAACGAATGAGTGAATGAATGGATGGATGGATGGGTGGGTGGACGGGTGAGCAGGTGGTTCTCAGTAGCAATATCAGTTTGCATGCTGGGCAGGGACTCCCCTATAATCAGACCGGAAAGGCCTACACACGCCCCCCGACTGCCTGGCCCTGCCCAACGCCCTCCCCACAGGCCGGAGGCGTCAGCACACGGGCCCTGCGGCAGCCTCCTGCCTCTCTGTGGATGGCGGGCCTTCCGCTCCATCTTCCCTTGCCTCACGTTTCTTACCAGCTAAAGTCTGGGGAGAGGCTCAGCGATAAAACGTTGTTTACAAGTGCCAGCCGGCTCCCTGAGGGAGGACCCCCTTCAGTGACTTTCTCTGGGATCTACTCTGAAGGTCCCCATCTGTGATGTTCCCACCACCCAAAGCGTCAATTCCCGCTTCAGCTTGTGGGGACACAAGCGGAGCTCACAGTCCTCCATCTTGCCTCGCGGACACTCAGGATTGGGACGGGGCACGCTTCCTCTCCCTTTCCTTCCTGTCCCACGAGTCTTCAGTGGATAGCAGAGGCAGGAGGGGAGGAGGGCAGGGGGCTGCAGGGCAAGGGCCATGAGGCAGCTCACTATCCCCGGGACCCCCTATCCCCGTGCTAAGAGGCTTGTGCGTCTGTCTAGGGGCCAAAGGGCCGCGGGTCTCAGCGTTGCAGGCGGCGCCCGGCTTCAGTCTCGCACGCTGGCCTAGGGACGTCCCGTGAAAAGCCCACAGATGCGAACAAAGTGACTGACAAGTGCCCATCCTCCCCTGCCAGCTGGCACGGAGCTCCGGATGCTGACCTGGCTGCAAGAGAATACTGTGTTGGCGTCTCCTGATGCAGCGTTAAGTGCTTGTTAAAGAAAAAAGAGTCTTGGCCGCTCCTTTTCTTCCTAACGTCTTCCACGCCCTCATCGGCTGCCATCCCTCCGGGTTCGGGCCCGTCGGGGCCTGGGGTTTGGGCAGCGAGGCTGAGAGGGCAGCGGGGTGCTACGCTCTCCAGAGTTGACACCCAGGCAGCCCCAATGTTGCTCAGTGACAGTAGGTTGGTTAGGCAAGTCCTGAACAGGGGGGAGGGACCTGATGCCCTGTGGCTCGGGTTCCTGTGCCTGAGGAGGAAAGGAATATGGAGCTTGAGCTGACAGGACAGCAGGTAGCGAAATACAGATAAACACATTCCTTCCACGTGCCTGGGTTTTTACCCTTCCGAGCACCCCGAGGCCGGCTGCCATCGCGGGGGAGCCATCGCAGGAGGACAAATGAACCGGGACCCCCGGACACGGCAACCCGCATGCAGCACCGACCGTGGTTGTGTCGGAGGGGCACACTAGCACCCAGGGGGGGTGCCTTTCAGACACACGGGGCAGTCACTTCCGTGGGAAGACACGATAAGCTTCTCTATGGCCCTTTCCTGCTTCATAGGAAGTGTTAACTTTCAGTCCTACATCCACCGTGAGAGGCCACTACCTCCTGGCGTTCAGGTCTGGAAGCTCTTTGGGCCTCACAGCTGCCTGGGAGAGGGGCAGGCTTTGAGTCCTGTTCCCATCCCCGCTGCCAGGACCCTCTCCTTCCTCAGGGATGCCTTCCTCACCTTTCCTGGCCTTCCCTGGGCAGGGCGAGGGGCTCAGAGCCGGCTCTCCTGAACCCTCTGGGCTTAGATCCGAGGGAGCCACGTTCTAAGGGATTGTGATAGCTGGAGAGCTCACCTGTGCAGGAGTGGGGGTGGGGCTAGGCAGCAGGCTGGTCTTGTGTTACCAAGTGGCCAGAAGGGCAGTTTCTTTATGTGCTGTGGTTTGAGAGGGTCTAGCCTGTCACTGCTTCCCAATAGCATTTTCCTAAGTCAAGAAGATTTCTTCCTTTTTTTTAGGACACGCCTACGGAAATGTAAATACATCGGGAGGTGTTGGAGAATACAGGGACATTAGAGACACGGAACGTCAGTTTGGGTTTAGGTCAGAGAGCAGTGTGAGCAGAGGGGTCTAGGGAGGTGGGAAGGGCCGAAGACAAGCTTAATCACCTTCATGACATCCCTCGGGAGCTGCCCTGCTGGACATGAAGCAATTAGAAATTGGTCCATAACCGTTCTGACATTGTTTTTAGTATCGACATGATAGCCTTCATATTGCAAACAGAAACACATTCTTAATACCCTTACATGTTCTTACAGCAAAAAAGGCCATTTGTAACTGTCAAATAAGCTCTTTTCTAATACCCCTTTCGTTAGAAGATTACCCACACAAAGAAGACAAAGCGTCACGCACATCACACGTGCCTCTGGAGCACGGTTAGGCAAGCCGTTAAGAGCCGACAGTTAAGAATTTACCGTGGATCCTGACTTCAGAATCATTTTGGTTCTATGAAAAGCCAGCTACTGACACGCGTTTAGGAAGTTGGGGTTCAGGTAGTCGTGGGGCAGCTCTGATCTCATATCGCACAAAGACTGCTCACTTACTTCCACATCTGCGAATTCAAGTGTTTTTCTACCATGGAGTTTAGCGCGAGCCGGAAACGATCCCATCTTCTGTCAAACACATAGTACCCTCGTCCCATGAGGCGGCTCCCGAAGGAGCAAAACTGTGAGGGGAAAAACACATTTTAATTTTAATTACAGGTTACTAAGCTAATATAAACCATACTGAGAAAAAAGAGCATTTGCATAAAAACACACAGGGGTACAATTTTACTCAAAATAAGGAAGCAAATGGTACTGGAGCCAAAAATATTTCTGTGCTGCTTTACTTGGAGCTCTAGATTTTTCTGCAGAACATCACATTGTGACTCAACAATAGTAACATTTAATAGAGGGCTACCTTCTCTATATCTGGGACTGAGCCAACATTTTAGGTCGAAAAACCCCAAACCAACAACATTCAGCAGCCAGGATGTTTGTTTTTTTAATTTTAATTTTTTTTTTTAGCACCACCTGCTTATTGAACACCATCTTCTTTTTTCTTTCTTTCTCTCCCTCTCCCTTCCTCTCTCCTTCCCTCCCTCCCTTTTCTTTCTTTCTAGATTTTAAAATTGATTTTTAGAGAGAGAGAAAGAAGAGAAAGAGAGAACAAAATATTGATCAGTTGCCTCCTGCATGCCCCCTACCAGGGATTGGGCCCAGAACCCGGGCACGTGCCTGGACAGGAAGTCGAACCAGTAACCTTTTGGTGTGAGGGACACCACTCAACCAACTGAACCCCACCGGCCAGGATTCACCCATCCTCTTAAGGAGCCTGGCGGTTCCTTACTTCTTATCACAGTAATGGAAACACCTCACTGTGATGCTCTTCTGCCACTGATCATACCTTTCCTACCTGTTGTCAACAGAGTCACTTCACTTCTGACTCGGCTATCCTCCTCCTCCTTTCCCAGTCCAGACCTCGCCTCCTCTCCTATCGGCACCTGTGGGCTGCCCAGGGACACATCACTGCCTCCGAGCTTATACTCATGCTGTTCCGCCTGCCAGTCTTCTTCCCTCTTCTCTGTCAACCCAATTCTCCCCTCCCTCAGTGCCCTAATCAAGACTCTCATTTCCAGCGGTCTTTATCTGAGTAACTTTGCCTCTATGAACTCGCACCCCACCTTTATTGCACACTTTATTACATTTCACCCTGGAATCACTACACAGTCTTACGTTACATGTAATGCCTATGTGCCTGACTTGATTATAAATGGACAAAAGCCAGGGGCCCAATTATCTTCTTCTTCAATATGAGGATAGGGGGATTTGGGGTACATGATGAATGAGAGAGATAAGGCCCCACAAAATGCTTAAATCAAACCATCATACTGAAAACAATATGGCTGACATATAGACAGTCAGATGTTTAGTACACAGCCTTTTATTATGATGTTAGGACAACCAGAAATGCAAGAAGCGGCCTCTGAGAAGGTGACATTTGGCTGGTCTGGAGCTCAGACGAGTCTGCAAATGGCTCTATAACTCAAACGCGGCTCCTCTCCCTTTCCCCAGGCCTCCCAGCGGCTCCTGGCCTCCATCCCAGACACAGTGCTGGATTGGCACTCACTCCACAGACCTTTCCTGGAACCGGCCTTTGGCACAGCTCTCAGGAGCAAACGCAAGACCTTCCCTTTGTTTGGTGCCTGCTTCTGTTTGGGGGCTTTTGTATTCAAACATTGCCACCCATCAAATCTGGTGCTTCTGATGAAAAACGCTCTCCGGCACTTTCATAGCAAGTGCTTATTGACCAAGCAAACGCACAAAGGGGACTCCCCAGCGTGGAGGCTGGTCCCCAGCAGCCAGAGGGAGCTCTTCCAGGTCTTCCTACATCCCAGTTGCTAACGGACACACTGAACCAGGGCTCATTACAAAAATGATTTAATGTAGCCACTGACCATGAGGGAAAGGACAAAGCAAAGAAACCAACCCATGGCCTTTCCATTAAATCAGCAAAACAGTAAGGGCACACAAATCCACTGAGTGCAGAGTCCAGTGATTCGAATCCTATGTACCCTGGCAGCCTGTCATTTGAACAAACATCTTTAAAAAAAAATTTGCTCTTTTTGATGATCACAAGTCCTGTTAATGTTGTTTCTTTTTTATTGAAGATTTTTAGAGAAAGATGAAGGGAGAGAGAGTGAGAGCGAAACATGGACGTGAGAGGGAAACATCCATCAGCTACCTCCTACACACCCCCTCCTGGGGATCAAGCCTGCAACCTGGGCATGTGCTCTGACTGGGAATTGAACCAGTGACCTTTTGGTGCATGGGACCACATGAGCCACATGAGCCACCTGGGGCTGGACAAACATCTTGATGTGCTCCAGACTCTGGTCTTCTGGTAGAGCCCATTCTCTCTCTGACCTGGGGGGCACCTTTTTTTCTTTGCTTTCTATATCTCTAATTCCATAGACACGCAAGGCCTGATGCCCTGAGAGGCTCTTATTCCAAGTTATATATTATGTCCTTGGCAGAGCCTTAGATCCTCATGGCACTGGCCACTATGGCAGACCCCACAGGTTGCCAATCTCCTCAACTGCCACCCCCTCCCACTCTCCCTGCCTTTTCTTTGCTAACAGAACCACACTTTTGCTCTGATATATGACATGGAGCAGTGAGCAGGGAAGGTGAGACTCTTCCCAGAACCTTGGGGTGAATCGTGCTGGCTCCTCCATCCTGTGCCATTGCAATCCCATCCTTCTCTGCTGTCGAGTGGCCCAGGGGTGGTATGTGACCCACTTCTGGTAGGTGATAGGGGAAATATGGTGGTGGTGGTGGTGGTGGGGGTTGTTCAGGAAGATTTTTTCCCCAATGAAATGGTATAAAATAGCACCTTAGGAGAAGACTCCCTTTCTGTTTGTCCCTTTCCATCCGTGCAAATGCTACTGGGTAAGGACTAGAGCAGACACACCAAGACCAGGTGTGAAAGGGAAAGAGGCTGCACAGAGTGCCCCTCTGCTTGGAACCACCCACCTCTACACTTCTTGTTATGAGACTAGAAGCCCTGTGCACGAATCTATGCACCAGCTCGCCATTAGCTAGCTGCCACCCTCCTGTAGCTCTCCGCCCGCTGTACCCTCCCTCCCTCTACCCCCCTCATTCCCCCTCATAGCTTGCTGCCCTGCCCCCTCTCCCCTCCATAGCTCTCCGCCCCCCCCCCCCCCCCCCCCCGCTTGTAGCTCGCTGCCCCACTCTCCTGCTGATCCGTGATCTGGTCGTAACGTGGTTGGTTGTTACGCTTCAGGCATAATGACCATTTGTATATCACATCTTTATTATAGAGGATCATTCGATGACCACAGTGCATGCACTGTATGAGTTATCTGTGACTGGCAGTCAAAGGCATTCCTGATTATCTCTCACTATTTCTGAAATAGCTAAGAGGCAAAAGTCTCAGGCTCTTGGTCCAGGTCACCAACCCCCAGCAACGGGAAGTGAACTTGGAATCCCTTCATCTCACAGACAGGAGGAAGGAAGGAGTCGCTCTATCTAGATGCAGGGCTGATTTCACTGACCCAGTCCCTGAGCTCTAGGAGGAGTCAACACGATTCCTACAGGAGTCCAGCTGGCCCCAGAGGAAACCAGCCGCGGGCCCCGTGTCCCAGGCCCCCTGCACTCAGCTCAGGGACGGCAGCACCAGGCACCTCCTTCTCAGGTGCTCGCAGGGCAAACGTAGACGAGCCTCCAGCTCCTGCCTCCTCAGGTTCCCCACCTCGATTTCGATGATCTGAGTTGTTAAATGGCCTCTTTCAAGGACTGGGAAGAAACCGACCTTTCTGTTCATCAGCAATCACATCGACATGAAACGCCTCCTCCTTTCCTTACACACACACACACACACACACACACACACACTCACTCAGCACCAGTGCCATATGGTCACACTTACTAATAACAATAAAACTCAGCACTGACAGGGGAGACAACCAGCGAGGGCTGGCACCTGGCGCTGCCACGACAGACGGTTCCCCACGCAGGTGAGCCAGACAAACTCCTGAAACCAGAGGCTCCGTTCTTAGACGGGCAACGCCAGGAGGCCCGCTTCCTGGTGCCCTTACATCAACACTGCTTCTCAAGCACGAATGCTCCAGGCGGGCCACACACACGCAGGTGTCTAAGGGTAACGCTAAGGCAACCATTCCATCTCAGGGTGAGCCTCCCCGTAACACAGGGTCCTGACGACCTCCCCTGAGGAGGGGGTGCCCTCGGACACCACCCCCCGCAGGCCCACGAAGCCAGGGAAACGCGTGGAGGGGTGCGGGTGGCCTACCGCAAGCGGCCTGGGGTGGTGGGTGGAGAACTGGCAGTCTAACTTCTCGGGTTCGTCGGCGCCGTCCATCTCCCCTTCATCGCTCGACAGCCGGCTGGCGAGGTCACCCGCAGCGGGGGGCGCAGGGGCTTCCGGGGCGCAGCCGCTGTGGCTCGAAGACGTGGTGCTGCTGATGCTGTTTGCAGAGGACGGTCTAAGGCAAGAGAGAACACCCAGGATAAGCCCTTCGGAGGAGGCAACAGAGCGCAGGAGGCGGCCTTTCCGGGGCAGGGGCAGCCTTGCATCAGGGGGATATTAAGGCTGAGAGGTCAGCAATGACCAGCTCTCCGCAGGCCTGGGGGAGCCGAGGAAACCAGGGCGTCAGAGGAAAGCGACAGGGCCGGCCGAATGGGAATGCAGTGACGTGGCAGAGTTCTCTGCGAGGTCAGTCATAACCACTCAACCACTTGCACGTAACTAATCTGTACTTGCCATGCAGTTGCTTCTCTTTGAAGGTGGAACTGGACAGGAAGGTCAACCCGGTAAACAAGTTCAAGCTAATTGATAAAGTATCAAAATGACAAAAGACAGCCCTACAAACACTTCGTTTTTTTTTTTTTTTTTTTTTGCTACTAAACTCTGGCTTTATGAGACTGTTATCATACTTGCATGAAAAAAGATTTTGACCCAAGGATGAGCCACAAGACCCTTAAAGCACAGCCAGGTCAGTTTCTTTTCTTTTTTTTTTTTTAAAAATATTTTATTGATTTTTTACAGAGAGGAAGGAAGAGGGATAGAGAGTTAGAAACATCAATGAGAGAGAATCATTGTTCAGCTGCCTCCTGCACACCCCCTACTGGGGATGTGCCTGCAATCAAGGTACGTGCCCTTGACCAGAATCGAACCTGGGACCCTGTTGTTCGCAGGTCGATGTTCTATCCACTAAGCCAAACCAGTCAGGGCGCCAGGTCAGTTTCTTAATATTTATATTAATATTATTAATATTATTAAGATAGTAATAATGTCTTAACATGCCACATGGAGTTTAATTGTATCTTCTGAGAATGAACGTTTACATTTAAAAAATATTTTTATTGATTACAGAGGGGAAGGGAGAGGGAGAGAGATAAAGAAGCATCAATGATGAGAGAGAACAATTGATGGATTGCCTCTTGCATGCCCCACACTGGGGACTGAGTCCACAACCCAGGCAAATGCCCTGACCAGGAATCGAACCATGACCTCCTAGTTCATAAGTTAAGGCTCAACTGCGGAGCCACATACATTGATTGGCTAGGCTGAATGTTTAATTTTTGACAAGGCGTTCGATCCTCCTGCTAGCACAGTTGGCTCATAGTTAATGTTGAAGAAATATGTTTCTCAATGAAGGAATACATGAATTCCATGTGTATAAATAATCCAACAGAACTCATCTAAATTATAGCTTAGCTCATATTAATAGAAAAGCACTGTCACAGTACGAGATAGAACTGCATGCTTACTGAGCAGTAAAAACAAGACAAAACAAACACATCACATCAGGAGAGGAGTTAGAAGAGAGAGTCAAAGTTAGTTGTCAGTTGTTTTTACTGCTTCTCTACTTTCATTAGGTGACTGACTCACGAGAAAGATAGGGAGAAAAAATTTTTTGGAGAGAAAAATCAAGATCCTTAAGATTATTAGTTTTCTGCATTCTTCTTTGGAAGCTGCCCCTTCCAGTCACATGAAGCAGCACTATTGCCCTGTCTCTGTCTCCCTTCATTCCACTCTGGATCCTCTGTGCTACAACAGCTTCCCAGGCATGAAATACCTGAGTTCAAACCAGATCCCGAAAGCATAGCCATTTAGAAACAAAGCCACAAAGGTGGGAACAAACCAAGTGGCCACCAGTAGACAAATGGATAAACAAAATACGGTATATCCATACAAAATATTAGTTAAGTCTTAAAAAACAATAAGATACTGATACATGCTACCACATGGATGAACCATGAAGACATTATGCTAAGGGAAATAACCCAATCATAAAGGACAAACGTGGTATGATTCCACTTCTATGAGGTTCCTAGAACAGTCCAATCCATAGAGACAGAAAGAACAGTGGTTACCAGGCACTGGGGGTGGGGGTGAAGGGGAGTTTGTGTTTAATGAGTACAGAAGGTCAGTATGAAATGATGAAAAGTTCTGGAGCTGGTGGTGATGGTGGTACCACAATGTGAATGTACTTAATGCTACTGGACTGTACACTTAGAAATAAAATGGTAAATTTTGTTATGTATATTTTACCACAATAAAAAACACACAGACTTAAAAATCCCCCCAAGAAAGCCATAGTTTTTCAGTGTTATTACAAGAACTCCATTATATGACAGTTTACTATTGACTATTACCTTCCCACACTTATAAAACAAGGATGCCATTCACTTTACATGTTAAAAGTCTACAGACCAAAGACCACATCTCCCCGTCCGCATTCCCCGAGACCTACTCTCCTGTATCAGAAGGGGCAACTACACTGTTGCCTGTTTACAGCTGAAGGCCCAAACAGTACAACATTTTTGGTGAAATGTATAAAGAAAACAGCACCCACAATCCTGCCACTCAAGATCAAGTGCTGTTACCATTTAGTTTTATATCCTTCCAGACTGCTTTAGTGTGCATACACAGCCACATGGATTTTAAAGCAAGAATTGCACCACACTGAACATACTATTTTGAGACATGTTTTTGTTTCGTTAATCTTCACCCAAGAACATTTTTCCCATTGGTTTTTAGATAGAGTGGACGGGAGGGAGGAGGAAGGTGGAGATAGAGAGAGAGAGAGATAGATAGATAGATAGATAGATAGATAGACAGAGAGAGAGAGAGAGAGAGGAAAGGGACACATTGATTGGTCTTCTCACACGTGCCCAAATAGGGGCTGGGAAGCAAACCTGCAGCCCAGATACATACCTTTGACTTGGAATTGAACCTACAACACTTTGGTGGGCGGGTTGACACCCTAACCACTGAGTGACACTGGCCAGGGCTACACTTTTTAAAAAACACAGTGATAATGTAGAAATATTTCCATGTATAGAACTATGTCATATATGTCATATTTTTTATTTAATATTCCCCAGTATTCCACAGCATGGATATATCTCAATTTACTTAACTAATCTATTGATGGGCATTTAAGTTATTTCCAAACTTTCTAGTAGGTTCTTTTTTTTTTTTTTTTTTTTTTTTTTTTTTTTTTTTTTTTAACAAAAGCTGGATAGTTTATTTAACTTGTTGGCCTTTAACACATAGACAGCCAGATATTTCTCCAGCAAAAATGGGTTTATGCAGAAACAACAAAAAGTTCCAACTCAGCACATGCAGTCTAACAGCGAACCATGGACAAGTTCAGAGAAACAAAAGACAGATATGCTCTTGTTACGGGATTTTTAAACTGGAACACGTGGTGTCCCCCTGGGTAGGATGGTCCCCTGCATTCTTTGTCCATCGGAGTCAAAGAATGAATCCACGGAAGGAAGATGGTATAGCAAAAGGGGAAATTTATGGAAGAATAAGCACAGACTCCCACGTGGGGAGGGGAAAGAGTCCCCTAGTAGGTTCTTTTTGAAGCCTTCCCCAACATGATAGGACCTCCCTGCCCTGCAGGAGATACAAGTCAGCTGGATTTTGTTAACTGTAATAATAGCATCATTACATAGAAAATTATCTTTACTTAAAAAAATTATCTTTATTGTTGGAAGTATTACAGATATCCCTCTTCCTCTGCCTCACATCCCCAATGAGCCCCCCACCCCACTCCCATCCCTGTCCCAGGCCGTCACTGAACTATTGTCTGGGTACATGAGTTGTGCATATAAGTTATTTAGTTAATCTCTTCCCACACTATCCCCCTCCCCCTGAGATTCGTCAGCTTGTTGCATGCTTCCATGTCTCAGGATCTATTTTGTTTGTCAATTTATTTTCATTATTTCAATCTATATGTTCATTAGATTCCACATATAGGTGAGATCATGTAATACTTGTCTTTCTCTGACTAGCTTAGCCTAATATTCTCCAGCTCCCTCCATGCTGTCTCAAAGGATAAGAGATCCTTCTTCTTTACAACTGCATAGTATTCCATTGTGTAAATGTACCACATCTTTTTTTGTTGTTGTTAATCCTCAGTCAAGGAAATTTTAGAGAGAATGGAAGGGAGAGAGAGAGAAACATTGATTTGTCTATCACATCAATTGGTTGCCTCACGAATGAGGTCCTTGTGCACCCCCATTGGGACCAGAGATCAAATCTGCAACCCAGGTATGTGCCCTTAACTGGGAATTGAACCTGAGACCCTTTGGTGGACAGGTCAATGCTCTAACCACTGAGAACACTGGTCAGGGCACCACATCTTTTTTATCCACTCATATTGATGGGCATTTGGGCTATTTCCAGATCCTAGCTATTGTAATGGGCAAAGGATCTACATAGAAACTTCTCCAAAGAGGACATACAGATGGCCAAGAGAAATATGAAAAAATACTCAAGGTCACTAATCATCAGATATGCAAATTTAAATGACAATGAGGTATCATCTCATACCTGTCAGAATGGCTACCATCAACAAATCAACAAATGATAAGTGCTGGTGAGGAAGTGGAGAAAAGGGAACCCTAATGCACTACTGGTGGAGAGGCAGACTAGTGCAGCCACTGTGGAAAACGGTATGGAGTTTCCTCAAAAAATTAAAAATGGAACTGCCATTTGACCCAGTGATCCCACTTCTGGGAATATATCATAAAAATCCCGGCCCAGGCTGATGTGGCTCAGTGTTGAGGTCATGGCTCAATTTCCGCTGAAGGCACATTCCCAAGTTTAGGGCTTGACCCCTAGTGTGGGGCATGCAGGAGGCAGCAGGTCAGTGGTTTTTCTCTCATCATTGATGTTTCCATCTCTCTTTCTCTCTGAAATCAATAAAAATATGTTAAAAAAAAATCCCGAATGAATATATGCACCCCTATGTTAATCTTAACTTTTTAAAGATTTGGAAATCTTTAGAAGTAAAATGCCATGGTATCGCCCTAACCGGTTTGGTTCAGTGGAGAGAAAGTCGGCCTTCGGATTGAAGGATCCCAGGTTCGATTCCGGTCAAGAGCATGAACCTTGGTTGCAGGCACATCCCCAGTAGGAAGTGTGCAGGAGGCAGCTGGTAGATGTTTCTCTCTCATCGACGTT